ATCAAATGTTATAAATCTTGTTATGCAGCTTATATACTTTCTTTAGTAATAAAACTCAATAATATATTTTACCTAATTTGTATCTGTAAAATCAAGTTTTGGTTATAATTAATTACTTAAAATCTTTCTTTTAACCTTTTTTAACAAGATAAAAGAGAAAAGAAAGAAATATTTACCAATACAGCTCTCATGTTCTTTATAAACAATTAATGCGCACTTCATAAGAACAATCGATATTTGCAAAAAATTCTTCACAAAATTGACAATCTGTCATACACCTAAATGAAATCGTTAAGTAGCTGTCATTCATTTACTTATCTTGTTGTACAGGTCACCAGAAATGGAATTATGGAATAGAAAACATCTGTGCTTTTCTGGAGAATCACAAAGAACTTTCTCAGCCGCATTTACATACATTAAAGAGTCGCATAAAATTAGTAAGGACATAATAAAATCGCTCTAAACTATAAAGAATATTCGAGTCGACAAAAAATAGTCAAGTTAGCGTATTACTTCATCGCTATTAGAAACCTACTTCCATCTTTTTATACATTCTATAATTGTAACGTGAATTTTAAAATTTTCTACTATTAATTATAACTTATGCTAGAACAAAAATGGAAATTAAGTTTCGTAGATTCTAAAATTGGTTTAATGTTAAAAAAAGAATTACTTATTAAACCTTATTTATGAGGTGCATATAAAGAACAATTTAATCAATGACTCAGTGACCAAGACATTAATGCATTATATAATGAGACTAACCCTGTAATGTTTTAATTTGTCCGAAAAAAGAAAAATTTCGTTATAATTTAAAAATCTCCGAATATTAATAATAAATGCCTACCAAAGTCTCGTTTTTTGGAATAAAAAAAAAAAATAAAATAAGAAAAAAAATTTCTCACGAATTTCAATAAATAATCCAAGATTTAAAATAAGTATACATAAATAAATAAATAATATATATAAATAATAAATAAATATAAATAAATATAAATAAATAAATATATATATTTTCTTCACAGAAAAATTCTTTCGACGCCCCGTATTTGACACGAATAGAACAAAGTTACGTTTTTTCTAAAAAAAGAATTAATTTCAATAAATGATTTGATAATATTTGAAGTTCCTTTGTCTCGTTATAGAGTTAAAATATATGATTTCATATTCGATTCAGTTTTCGCGCTCATTTATCAATTTTTTTTGAATTTTAACAATACGAATGATTGTTCTTTCAACAATAGTCTTTGTAATTTTTTTCTTTGATTTATTTTTTTTAAATCATTAATTCAATCATAATAGGACAAAAAAAAAATTTTTCTTTTTTTTTTTTCCTCTTTAAATATTTGCATAATAATTAATATTTAATGGGTACTGTACATGCATATTTTTTCTCGTGAATATCACGAATTTTTTCGAGTTCGATCAACATCTATCAACCACTTATGTGTATTGGCATAAATGACTTGCGCGACAATTTTTGAGATATAAAGACTCGTCGTTCTTCTACGTTTCCTCTTCACTTGTGAAAAAAAAAGTACAAAAAATGATAAAAATATCAAAATTCTCTCCCAAAAATTCATTTCCAATGCATAACAAATTTCTTGTCAAAATGCTAATTAAAAACTTTATTAAAAATAATAACACAGAACTTAAAAAACAAAAGCAAAAAAATCATTTTATTCTATACACACTTAAAATGGTTTATATATTTATTATTAATATTCCTCGACTCCCATCTTATAAATCTGAAATATAAATTACTTTTTAAGAAATTCTCGTGAAAAGTTTCGGGAAAATAAGGAGAAATGGAAGACCCTATGATTCTGTCTCTTTTAATAGATCTTTCATGTACTCTTTTCAGTAATTAGATTTATATCTAGAAATTAACAATATCATGTATTCTTTTAGTAATTATAATTAGATTCATATCTAGCTAGAAATTAACAATATCATGTATTCTTTTCAGTAATTAGATTTTTATACTCTTTTTTTTTTTTAATAAACATTATAAATATTAAATACAAATAAAAATATATGGTTACGTAAATGTCTTATAATCATTCTAGAATCTTTCATTAAAATTCATTCGTTCTTTTAAAATATGCATGATTATGGAGAAAGAAGTAAACAATATCTGTAACGTCAGGGTTTTCTCGCGTCAATCGAAGTCACGTGTTAAGTTGTTCTCGGTTTCACAATTTTAAAGTTCGTTATCAAACTTAAAAGATCAAAGTTTGAATTATCGTTATGTCAAACTATATCGAAATCTTATTATTGTAACTTCCGATTCTAATTTCATATAATTTATATAATTTATATAATTATGATATTATGGCGTATTTTATATTTTTTTTTACTAATCGTAATTATATTATTTGATGATTTCACGCATCCTATAAAACTTAATCTAGTAATTAAACGTCTTCATAATTTCGTAAATTTTTTCCGTTTTTGCAATATATTCGGCAAGTATCAAAGAATTATTATAATATACTGTTACATTGCGTACTGTACCTTGGAGAATGGGTGCCGAATTAATATTTAACGGTGTAAATTTCTATGTTTAACCCCTTGCTGCTTTATCTTTGTTACCGAACAAATAAACATTATAATTAATTAAAAATATATATATATATTTTTTTGGAACCTTATATACTATGTAGACTTTATTAATGAAGTCACTTATACTGAATTCCATCTAATGTCCTCAAAGAAAATAAAAGAAATAAAATTAAAAAAAAAATAATAAAATATAAATTTGTTCTTATTTTTAATGCCTCTATAACTATACAAATTTTTAAAAATAAAATCTATTAGTATGAAATAGGAATATATATTTTAGATCGGACTATTTGAAATAATTTATGTTTTAAATAAAAGCCTATAATATTAGGTGATACTTAAAATATATAATTGAATTCCAAAAATTACTACAGGTAATATTTTAAGCTTGCTTAATTTAACTAGTAAAATTTCAAGTTATATTTTGATAACTAGTAATTTAATTTTGATGGTTTCAATTAGTAAGATTTATTTAAATTAGAGTAATAATAAATAAATTATAGTTAAAATGTGATTTACTATGTAAATATTTTAGAAAAGTTATTTATAAATATTTCTATTATTTTAATAACCAGTACTTGAAATTTTTATAAATTTAATAATAGTAAAAAAATGTATTTACTATATATTATTTGTAAATTAAATAAAAAATATAGTTAAATTCATCTAACTTTATATTATAAATTAAAATTTTTATTAGTAATAAATTACAATATTAAATATTTTATGAAAAAAAACTCAAAATATAAACTGTTAAAATTACTGAAGTTAAAATTTTAAATTAAAATTTTATTTATAAATTACTTTTATATTTATAAAGTTATATTATAATTAATTTTATTTAATTTAATTATTAAAAAAAAGTAAAGTATATATTTATTATATAATATAATTATTATTTTAAAATTTAAATAAGACTTATTAAATTAATTTTTATTTTTAATTATAATTTATTAATTTTTTTTTATTACTGCATATTTGCAATTTTTATTTGATTGACAGATTTTGTTTGAAATTAATTATTCTTAGCTATATGACACTATTTTCAACATCAGGTAGTCATAGAATTTATTATACCAATTATAATTTATTAATAAACTATAATTTTTTTTATTTTTGCAAATTATTTAATTTAATAAATAATTAATTTATTATTATATATAATTCTACAATAAATTATCAGATTTCATAAAATTTACTTAGTAATATATAGTAAAATTAATGATTTTTGGGTTGCATAAAAGTTTATAAATTTTTAATAAAATTCAGCTACAATTTTTTTTTAAAAAGCCAATTAATTATGATTTTTAAGTATTAAAGCAAAAAAGAAAAATTTTTAAAATATAAAAAAAATTTTCTCATTGGATGTATAATCAATAATTTTTCTATATATATTTTTTCTCTATGCATTTTAAAAATAAAATATTTCAGATTACATTTTTAAAAACATAATTAATTGGCTTTTAAATAAAAAAATTTTGGCCAAATTTTATCATTATGATGTTGGACTAATTGAAACCTTATGTTTACTACTAAATAACAATATTTAATAAGTATTAAAATTTTATATTTATTAAGCAATAAATGCATAACAATCACCGGACAAATCCAGTTACACCAATTTACTAATTGTTAAAATTCTGTGTAACATTAATCGTTAAACTTCATTCAATATTAACTTATTCAAACATAATGTTACGTCATGATTTTATCACAGAAAATCAACTTCTGACTTCCATTTTAGGTATTAAATTCATTTTTTTGAACATTAACTAATTAAAATAGAAATTCAAAATATTCGAAAATTTTTTAATTATTTTGGTCTTTTTTCTCAAGATCCTTTTTAATTTCAAGCTGTTAAATATCAACAATAGCCAAAATATATGTAAAAAGATGTGCCAGTTACGTATACTTTATCTTATAAAATTAGTTTACAAACTAGATTTTTTTTTATATATGTAAAAACACTTTTTGTAATAGAAATGAACTTTTTCAATATTACAACCTGACTTTATTGCTTTGAAAAAAAGATATTACCTATTTACTTTTCTTTTTATGCCTAATATTATTATTCCAATACCTTTTAACACGCTGGATATTCCATTCTTGTGATAGTTTACTTAAGACTTCATTAATTTCAGTTTCTGTGGGTAATGTTTACTTTTGTAAAAAGCAACTTAAGATTTGTTTTTATTCTTCAGTTGTTATAATTCTAATTCTTTGGCATTTTGGTTGAGGCTCATTTTGATTGTCTAATTCAATACTCGCTCTTTTTAAATTACCTTTAACTGACTGAAAAACTTGTTCGTTAAATTAAATGGGCAACACACCAGATGATTGATTCCCATTATTTTTTGGCACAGTATTCTTTCTTGGTTTTTTATTTTTTGATAAATCAGAAATTTTAGTTTTCATTACTGACAATACCCTTCTTCTTTTAGTATTAATTGCCTCAGTTTTTATTACTTCTTACCAAAAAATTTCTTTGATTCTCTTTAATCCATCCATATATACTTGGTTTATTTTTATTAATCCTTCTTGATTCAATTGGGGTGGAGAGTTTTTCTTGAAAAAATCATAATTAATAGGATTATCCATTTCGAATGCTTCTAATAAATCATGCACTAATTTCCATAATGGTTCAATACGATTATTTGTGTTGCGATCCTTGTGTTGATATGAGTAAGTACACAAAAATTCATTTAATAATGTATCTATTCGATTTATTTCCTCTTGAGTTGCTTTAATTTGTAACTCTAAGTTTTCTTGATTACACGAATTTCTAGTAATATTCTGTTTAATATAAGCAACACCATGAATTTCTAACGCTTCATCAAAAGCAGGATAATGTCCTTCTCTTGCTAAATTTATAGAAGCACAAAGACAAAGTTTTTTTTCTAACAGTGGATATTTTTCTAAATTTGCAAGAAAATGTGTAACAGAAGTAGCATAATTGCTTTTTCCCGCGGCAGGAAAAAGTGGAGCAAAAGCTGCTAATCCAAATTTTTGTAATTCATAATTTTCACAGCGTATTCCAGTAAGATGAGTTTTCCATATTGCAAACCATTCATAATATAAGTACCATATTCTTAAGCATATTTTCTCATTTGCAGGACAAAATAATATTTCTTCGATTTTAATCTTACTTTTTTGTAAGTATATATTAATGGCTGCTCCAACTGCAACCCAGATTAGTTCTAAAACCCTTCTTGTAGATCGATAGTCAATAACAGCTGCAAATTTATCCAAAAATTTTACACCTAAAGCCGTAGCCAAATCATATATTCCGTAACTTGAAAATAATGTAACCAAGGCGCTCATCATATCCTTTGAGGTGTGCCACTGACCAAGAATAGGCCGTATATTTTCTGATTTATTGCGGCATTTAATTAATCGTCTAAATATCGCCTCATCTGCACAAATATCTAGAAAATCATTCTCCTCCAAAGAAAAATCTCTTCTATACATTTCTGTAGCATGTAAGATTTCGTTATCATCATTTGGGGATCCACTTGGTTCCAGTATGACTACGTTTAGAGGTGGAAGATTACAGCTGAATTCTGTTTGCCTTAATATTTCTGAATTTATTGCTGTAAGATCAATCTTATTGTATTCTAGTTCTTGTCTTTCATTGTACCAGAATGCCAGCAAACTTATAAAAATTTTATTTATTTTGAAAATAATATCGCGCATTTCTTGTGATATTCCAAAGATTTGTGTATCAATATTTAGATTACGTATTGGTTCTGGTTTTTCAACAATAACTTCCGGTAATGAAAACTAAAACATTATTCTTAGCGTAGCATGTGATGTACCTCGAGTTACATCATAGATATTTCCAAATTGAAAGCTTTTTTCTTTAAAATCGATATTATCAATCACAGCTAAATTAAAGACATTTTTTTTGGTCAATAGGCATTTAGAAGGGTCAGCACTTTTCATCCGTATTTTTTCCAATCTTCGTTCATGTCTATTCGTATGTCCAATAATAGAACATTTAATTAAGAGGTCATGCAATGAAGATAATAATTTTGGTCATCGGCATAATGAAGTTAATACATTCGGTAGCCACAAATTTAGGTATGAAAATGTAAAATTAATTAAAGCTGAAATTAATAAAGAAAAAAGATGGTTGATTTTTTGCGAATCTAATTCCTTTAATGATTTTTCTTTTAGGAGTCATTTTCGGTTGGATTCTGCGGTCTTTCTTTCCAATATTGTTGTAAGCATGGACTCAAAAAAATTCGTTAAAGACCTGGGAAATACACTAATATAATCATTAAGACTTTCTGAAGTTTGTAAGTTATTTATATTTTTTTTAAGACATTTATATGATTGCCATAGTTTTTGTCCCATTTCCCAGCCAATTTCTTTATATTTTAGCTCATTCAACTCCTCTTCTTGAAATTCAATAGGAATTTGATTTAATTTCATTACTGTTTTTAATATAAAATAACTTGGAGCACTGTAATTAGAATATAGAAATTTATCGAGTGTATTAGATATGTCTGGTTGTGATACCATTGTAAATTTATTTTTTGCATTAAAAAATGGACTAATTTGTGGCAAAATTGCCGTAAGAACATTTTCCTGATATTCAAAATTTTCATTATTTGCGACATGTAGAAGCTAATTGGCCAACATTTTTAAGTTTTTTTTTATATTCCCCTTATGGTCTCCCCTTTTTTTACATGATAGTGTTTCTCGACTTCTTCCTGGTCTAGTGTGAAAATGTCCTCCTTCATGTTCATAACAATTACAATATACATATCGAGGATTTTTAATTTTATTAAAAGCACGTTTACATAAAGAATTGTATGGTTCTAACGCACTACAATTAAATTGGCCATTACAGACCACTTGAATATTCCTTTCAATTATCTTCCATAAATGTTTCTCGCATCCCGTGCCTTGTATAAAAAAATAATAAAGTTTTTCATAAAATAAACATCTTCTTCGATAAAGTACACTTTGACTTGTGTATTTTAATTGTTTAAAGCCCGGCTTATGAAGATTTTTTGATCATTGCTAAAATGATAACTACAAACGCCTAGCCGTTTTAATACACCATCTGCTTCAACAATGCTTTTCCCATCTATTTGATATACACCACAAAGCTGCCATAATATTCGAAAACCTTTTGAATTTTCACATCTTTTAATATGGCCTTCGATCTTATCAACAATAACACATCGTGTTAAATTTTTAGATGCTTTTTGTTCAATAATTATATCATTGTTTTCCGAATCTGTTTCTGAAATTGAATCATCGTCAAATATACTATCTGTTTCACTTGTATTCTCTATATCAATAACTTTTTTTAAATATTCTTTATCCAAAGAAAAAGTAACTTGTTCAATTTCAGTTTCAAAATTATCATTATATATAGTTTCAGATTCTGTATTTTTACTATCAAAAAGACAATATTCTTTGCTTCCTTTTGGTAAAATACTTTATATTCCTAAAAGTGAAGCTTTTGGGCTTTTTCGTGTGTTTTATTTAAAGACATTTCAGAATTTAAAAGTTTATACGTAAGCTTTGTGAATAACCTTATAGTTGAAATCCTCTTAAACTAAATTCAAAAAGCGTGTTCTGACAACATACCTACTTTTAAAAAAGGCTTTTTTGATTTATAACTAGGTCACATTTCTTATTAGCCAGCCAATAATTTTTTATTGTGTATGAAACTTCAGTTATTTGACGATTTTTATATGAAATCGGTGATGTAATACTATGTAGATCATTACTAATTAAAAAATTTGATCATCATGTGACTGGATTTGTCTAGTGATTGATAATATATTAAATAAGTATTAAATTTTAATATTTATTAATCATTTAATTTTTTAAGCATTTTATTAATATTTTAAGTAAATATTTAAATGCATTTTACCAAACATACCTTATATTTAATAAGTACTAATAATAAATATTAATAAATTACTTTGACTAACATCGTGAACTTATAAATTTTATGCAGCCCAAAAATCATTAATTTTACTATATACAGTCGTCTTCCCTTATAGTCACCCCTTGTATAATCACAACTCTTTTATAAGCACATTTACATTAATCCTAAGTTACTAATAAACTTATTAAAAAAACCTTCCCTTTAATCACATCATATATAATTTTTATAGTCACACCATTTTTTTATGGTTCTGAAGAGTGTGATTAAAGCTCCGAATGGTTCCGGTTTGAACTGGGAACCGATCCGGAACCGGCAAAAAATTCGGTTCGGTTCTCAGTTCGGTTTTGGACTTGGAACCGTCCAGTTCAGTTCGGTTCTATCTGAAATTAAGAAAAAATGCGAAAAAACGAATATACGACTATCCAGTGATCGTACAAGGACGAGCTATAGCAC